TTTAAGTGTAAAAAATATATGCTATACAGAAAAATTTGGGAATAGATGCGTTATGAAAAATGAAGTCAATATCATAAAAATTTTTTTTAGTCCTTATAGTTTCCGAGAAAGAAATTATTGAAGTTGAAATATTTTCAACCTTTACATCACTGGGCCACTGTAGTCTCAAGCGTCATTCGCCCACGTGGCCCCAGGCGATTTCGAATACTGAAACCCGATTTTAGTATTATCGTCGTTGCGATAGTGTTTACATTAGTTTCTCAACTGTCAAAAATGGCTTGCGTGTGTAGCAACTCGGTGTTTATGGATATCGTTTTAATTTATGGTGAAGCAAGACAACATTTGTATTATGGTGAAGCATTTATGTTAAGGTAAAATAAGACAAAATTTTGAACAGTTGAACATCAGGTTTGTCAAATTATTTTATTAATTAAAGCTGAAGGTTACTTTCGGTGTGCAGCAAAATAAAACTCTCTCAACGGTAACATAAAAGTATTTTTTATTGGAAATCAAGTTTAGTGAGAAGGAGTGTTGTCGGGGCGAGCGTTCGCTGGAGAGTCCTGGTATAAAGTCGCTCGCATGTAGTAGGTATATGTATCTGGTCCTGACGCCAATCTGCCGTGGACCTTTCGTGGAACTCTGGTGCGTCCCGCGTCTGTTATTTGTTCTTGCCACTATTAGGCTGGTCCGGCGCACTATAATTCATTTGGACTTAGGTATGGACAAAATTAAATAGCGCCTCGTAGAAAAAAGATAAAAAAAACAAAAAATAGCATTTTAAAGCTTAAGTAGAACATATTAAGGGAAAAATAATTACATTTCACCAGCACTCTATGTACACCCTCAAAATTGAACCCCAAAATTATAATTTTGAAAAAAAATTAACATTTTTTGCTCTCGTTTGAAAAAAAAAAAAATTTCAAAGATACAAAACATTTTTTTTTATAGTTTTTGAGATGAGGAATAAGGATCTATTCTTTAAATTGAGCTAAAAAAATTTAGAACCCTTAAATTTACGAATATTTCAGTTTATGATGTTTTTAGCTCTGATTTCCGCTCTTATGCATCGATTTACTTGAAATTTGGAAAGTAGGTAGAGAATAGCTCAAGAAACAAAATACATCCTATGCTGATATGTATTTTTACCATGGGGTGGTTTTTACCCCTTTATAGGGGTTGAAAATCAATTTTGCCAAAATAATCCCGGAAATCGATAGAGCAACTAATTTGAAGCAAAAAATGTGTCATACAATTTTTTTGATAAACCAATACTTTTTGAGTTATTTGCGATTGAAAACCCAATTTTTCAATTGAATATTTGAGTTTTCAATCGCAAATAACTCAAAAAGTATTGGTTTATCAAACAAATTGAATGATACATTTTTTTTTCAAACGAGAGCGAAAAATGGAAATTTTTTTCCAAAATTATAATTTTGGGGATCAATTTTGAGGGTGTAAATGGGTGCTGGTGATATGCGATTATTTTTCCCTTAATCTGTTCCACTTAAGCTTTAAAACGCTATTTTTTGTTTTTTTTATCTTTTTTCTACGAGGCGCTACTTAATTTTGTCCATATCTAAGTCCAAATGAATTATAGGGCGGCGTCAGACTGGCACTCTTGACGCAATACTTAAAATGGGTCACTTGCGGACATGTGTACCTACAAAAGCCACAAATTAATTTTATTAGTTAATAAAAACAATAGCCGAAAAAGCAGTTGGATTTGCTGATATAAAAGAGGTGTTAAAATTTTTGATTTATTTCTTTCCCTGGAAAAGAAATTCTTTAAATTTTTTGTCTGTTCATTTTTTATTGACTTTGCCGCCGACTGCATGCTTTGACTTGCCTAAGGTCAGGTTTTACAGTGGACCAGTTTCCAGAGCCGTGCAGAAGAGTATTTTTAAAGAGAATACATGTAAACAATAATCCAAAACAGCTCTAATTTGATAGGAGAGGCTATTGTATCGTTTTCTCATAAAATTTAAAGATTAAGAAAATTCCATGGGCATCTGAAATGGACATATGCTCGGAACTTTATAATTGATTGGGAACTTTCTTTCTTATTTTTGGTCAAGGAAACTCCCCCTGAATTTTTTCGCAATATTAATGGGACACCCTGTATGTTTAGGAAGTCGTAATGATAATGTGTACATGAACACAAAAAGCCATTTCCAACAAAAAATCCGCCTATATTTAAAGTGAGTTAAAAATAAACTATTTCTACCATGTTAAGTACGAATTCTCTTAAAAACGTTTCAACCAAAATCAAAATCAGTTTGGTTTCAGAAGCAAGTTATACAGGGTGTCCGGAAAGGTTATGTCAAAAATGAAGGGGTGTATAGGGGAGCTCAAAATAGTTGTAGTACTTCATAAAAAATTTGTTCCTATCGGGCTTCGTTGTGGAGTAGTACAAGATATAGACTGATATGTGGTATACCTTTTTTTAGCAAAGTGACAGAGAAATTTAACTGCGAAAGAAAAATACCAAATTTAGCAACGCTGTCAAAGATGTATAAATTTAAATGGATAATTTTGTCTGCTCCTGTATAATCCAGGCATATTGAATATCAGTTTAAACTTCGAAATGAACATTATCATGAGTTACTTTAATTGTCCAAATTTCATTGTTGTCATGGTAACGACTTAGAAGTTATAATTGGAAATTGTTTTCAAACTTCTTTCTTTGAAGACAAATAAACTCCACAACGAAGCCGGATAGGAAAAAATTTTTTATGAAATGCTACAGCTATTTTGAGCTCCCCTTCATTTTTGACATGACCTTCCCGGACACCCTGTATAACTAAAGTTATATGTAGAATAGTGGAATACATTGTCGAGAGCCTTGAAGAGACTGTGTTTCACATGATATTCTTAAAAGGAAATTATCTTTTTATGGCGTTCGAGATTTACAGTTAAAACTAATTCAATCTTATCTAAGTAATCGTAGATAAACTGTTCTTTGAATACCTCTTATTGAGGTTATGAAAATGTGCTCTACAGAGCTCCTCATTGAGACAGTTGTTTTTCATTTGTTTGTTAATGATGTGTTACCCTTCATAATTCGTTCTACTTACGTACGTTATTTGCTTATGATACTACTGTCTGTACCTCATACAACACAGAAATGGTTTTCTACAAATAATCTTAAATTGATTGAAAGTAAGACGGAAAATTTAATCTTTTGTACACATAAAGACAACGCTGGAATCTGCAAAAGTCCTCAATGTGATTCGTGATGACTCTTTTACATAGATGACCCACATTGACAATTTAGGACCTAAACCGTCTGTATTTATTTATTTAATTCAGAGATGGAAGCATTTTTTTGAGGAATAATCTTTGAGAATGTGTCGCTTTCAATTCCATTTATATGTGCCGTAATACTTAGGGAAAACAGAACACTATCTGTTAAAATATTCGAATTGCAGAAGAAAGCTGTATAGTTTTTCCGAAGTCAATTGAAGAACCTATAATTTCAAGGTATGTACCAGGCTCGGTCGCTAAGCAGCAACTCGGCACTGAAATATTTGAAAAACTTGTTCCCATATTTATTTAGCCATACCCATATATAGGTCTGGTCGAACTAAACGTGCAGGTGGTAGAAATGTATACGACCAGTTGAAGAATGCGAGCGCGGCCAAAGGAAAACGAGCATAGTTGTATTGGGCTTCTGGGCAATAAATCACAGCAGGCGACAAGTGGTTCATAAATTGCCCAGCAGTGCAGTGCAGTAGTGTGCGAAAGGGAGAAATAAGAGGGATATTTTGTTTACTAATATTATCACAACATGGCATTTTGGAGACCTTTTGAAACGGAACAAAACAAAATTTGCCACCAATATAATAAAATTGTTTGAGGACATAAATAATTAAAATATGTTGTTGGTCAAATGAACATGTAATAGAAATTTTCTACACATTATATACAAATTATTTAATTTTTTACCTTTAGCAGAAAATTTTTTAAGGGACGCCTAAGAAACTTATTAAATTTTATTACCAGACGCTTTTTTGCATATTCAACCGACTTCGGAAGGACTATACATTTAACAACTAATTCTTGTGCTGAACCTATCGAGTAGTTTATAAAAAAATATATATTTTGGGACAAAAGCATATTATGAAACAGAATAGAACGGAGAAAATTGGGTTATTTAAGTACGTGGCCAAAATTCAAAGGGTGATTCTTTGAGTGATTCTAAGACGAAAAGTTTATGTAAACATAGGTTCGGTAATGCTTCGTTTTCAAGATACAGGGTATCAAACTTTTTAAAAAAATTGTTTATAGTAAAAATCTTAATAATCCTTAAGTCGTATTGAAATTTAGCAGTGTTATTTATAGTACAAAGGGGCTAATTTGACCCTAATTAGATTAAAATTATTAGGTCCAGTGGCGTCCCGGCGGGCACCTTAACCAATATTTTTGACAAAAAAAATGTGCGCCACTGACTTTTTTAAAATTTTAATAATTATAATATTTTTTTTCGCATAGCAACTAAAAATACAACTTTTCAGTCTCTTGAATTTTTTTCGTCTCGCAATTTTTTGGAGAAAAAAAAAATTAAAATCACGCATGTTTATGGACAACAAAACACATTTTTTAATTGATTATTGAACATTTTTATAACAATTTCTAAGCCTAGAATAGACTATTGATAAGGAAAAAATAACAGGTACACCCCAGTTTTTAATAGTTTGTTAGTTCTAATTTTTTATTATACTTAATAATTTTAATCTAAATTAACCCTTTTTACTATAAATAACACTGTCAAATTTCAACAAAATCGGCTAAAGAATTATTAAGATTTTTACGAAAAAACAGTTTTTTAAAAAAAGTTTGACATCTCCTATGTATAGGTAAACCTATGTTTACATAAATTTTTCGTCTTAGAATCACTCAAAGAATCACACCTTGAAGTTTGGGCACGTAGTTAAATAACACACTGTAGGTACTTTTATCATTTCCATATTTCTTTGTTTATTTGAAATAAAACAAGCACCTGCTTCTAAACAATTTTATTGCGTTTACATAATTGCAGACAATATAAAAAAGCTGGTTACTTGGATCCTCAGTGGTACGTTATAGGAAAGGGAGCGGGTTACCAATCCTGGAACAGAATCAAATGTTAAACAATTATTTTTCCATAAGAATAGGTTTAAAAGTAGTAGACATACTTTTGCAAAAATAGTAAAGTGTTCTTCAATCCATATAGTTAAATATATTTTTTAAATTTTGAAGGCTTACATTTTGGAAACGGAACAATTCTTTTTTAATTTTACCTGAGAAATATTGCTATAAATTTTGTGCATTGAACACCTTGTATTTCAATGTCCTAACGTGTGTGTAAAAATGATATAAATTTACCTATAGAGAAAACATTAAAACAATTATTTAATAAAAGTCAACTTAGTATCTAGAAATACAATAAAATAAGACAGTGCAGTAATAAAAGAATGGTAATATGAAAAGTGCACCTCGTGACAATTCATACAAAAAAATTATTTATTAAATGTTAGACAATACTGGTATCTGCAAAATATTCCTTTACACAGTAATAAGCTTTATTTGTAATGTAACTTTTAATTTTATTCTTATAAATTGTAATGATCTAGTTATTAGGCTTAGTTTATTATATATATTTAGAATTAATGAATTGTTCTTGGATTTTGATTTAAATTTAGGAGGTCTCAAATAACTTGCTTTTCTTGTATTGTAACTACGAAAAATCTTTCTTATTAGTATGTATGTCTAAAACACTAAATAAAAATAAATAAAGAAGACAAGGGCATTACACTAAATTAAAAAAAAAAGACGAGACAGTGGTGGCGGAAATTAGCATTGGCTAGAATGCGAAATATTTTGTTTTGTTGACGAAAAACTTTTAGGGCAGCACTGGAAATATCCCACGAAATGATAGCATATGAAATGCGCGAATGAAATATATTAAAATAGATACCATAGTTGAGAAACCCACGTAACTGTCTAAATAAAAATGTTATGTTTGACAACTTTACACATTTTCACATTTACTAGATCTTTCCAGGATAAACTTCATCACTATCCACTCCCAATACATGCAATGAACTATTATTATTATTTTTTACTATTTTATCTGGATTGAGTGTTAAATTATTTGCTAAAAACCAATTTACTGCCATTTCATTAGACAACAGAGTGGTATCGTCAGCAAAGAGAATACATTTTTTTGGCGACATGAAACGTCGGGCATGCAGGAGCGTATAGTGAAGGTCAACATAATTTCCTATAATTTTTTTCCCAATGTTCGTCCCAACGGATATATTGGGCCCCAAAGGAATAGTTGGTAATTTACGTTTTGGTTTTTAACTTTAAAACCCCTTGGTTTGTATACCTACCTTGATAAAATTTTGGAATTGTGTATTATATAGTGTCCATGATTAGTTGTTAAAACTGGTCTTTTGCTGTTACAGGATATGCAGAAACAAACTGACAAAACCACATTTTTTCAAAATTTTGACAGATCATATTACCGAAATAGGAACATACGAGTATAGTCGGAATAAAGCAAGGATTTAATGGTCTTGATTTTCTGACTAAAGCAGTTTTATCTAGTGAGATAAAAATCACTGACATAATTATAATTTTTATTAGTTAATTTATAAAAGGAAAGAACATAATCTTATAAGCAATAAGTTTCTTCCTGCATCAAAGAAATAGTTGATTGAGTTAAGATTTAAGTGCTGTGTCCTTTTGACCAACTTTTAATCGCAATATTTTGTGCGCTACGGGAAAATATTCGTAGAATAATGAAGTGTAAGCTGATTTTGAAAATTTGTAGTAAGTAATATTAACCTGTTTCTCATTTTATATTATTACATACCTAAATGTAAATTTTTTATTTTTATCATATTTGTCTTAAACAACGACTGACATTTTCAAAGGTTTTTGTACAACGTTAAAAAGTAGATATATATAAGACAATTTATAATTAAATAAATTCTAACTGCTGCCCATTTCGACAACCGATTTATCTCAAAGATCGCTTATTTTGCTATTTTCTGTTCTAATTTTCAAACACTCATACATTTTTGATCACAAATTTTCCCTTCTACCGACTCTGTTCTTCAACCGATATTTTATAAGTTAAATCAATCAGCCTGTGTGAGGGATCACGTAGCATAATGTATACCTATGTACATATCTATTGAAATGTTATTTTTATTAGTCGTGTAATTTAATTGTATATACTTATATAATTTATGTTTATGTACCTTCGGATATCTCAAATTGTCAAATAGGAAAATCTACTTACCTTCAATTGTTTAAGGAGGTATGTCGGGGTCCGAGGGAAGTGAGGATCTCAGGGGGGTCCTATGCTTTTCTTATGGGACTAAAATCCGTTAACATCTTGAAAAAATTAAATTGTATTGAAATTATTTGCGATAAAAATTATCTATATAGGGCGTCCCGGAAATGGTGGTCAATCTCTCGGATATGGATAGATAATGAGAAAATAATGTCACAATAAGTTCATATAAAATTTTTTCCTCCCTGTATAGCAAAGAAATCTACTCAATATGCACATAACATACATACTGAAAATTAACAACATAAAAATGTAATATTTAAGTAGTTTTAAATTATATTTAATGAACGCATAAACACTATGTAGATATGGCAACAGTGCTAATAATCGAGTGCAGTTTGTTGTACATACTGTGAACCTACAGACCTCGGACATCGGAGATATTGCGCGTCAAATTCGGGTAAAGATGCGTACGCTTTCAAAAATGTATTGTGTGTAAACTATGTAAAATATAATTATTACATATAGCAAATATATCGTATTATCCTCGCGAAGATTTGTATCCTTTATTTAAAATCCGTAAATCATGTGAACTGGTAAAACAACGAGAATTATGTTAATTTAGTTCTAAAGAAATGAAATGACACTCGCGCCCATCTCTCGTCCAAGTCAAAGAAAATGTTGGATGCAATTTTGAAGGTTCTGTGATAGAAATTACATTATTACTCACTGTTCGTGTTTTTAATCTCTATTTTAGTAATGTTACAAAAGTTTTGCAACTATAACTAATTTTTTAGATATAAAGTTTGCTGAGAAATATTTATGTTCCTTTGTTATTCCGTACAAATGCTTTTATCTCAAGTATTACTAATTATATTAATCAAGTAAAGAAAACTTTATGTAACCCTAAATATTGCTGGGTAATGATTACGATGTTTTTATAAACCATTAAATATATTAAAAGGATTTATCAACTGTATTTTTTATTCCAATAAATATATCACAGCTTCCTAGTCTTTTTTAATTAATCTAGTTTTTTAAAAACATTACAAAAAATCATCTGTTGTGGATAATTTATTGTTGATAACAATGTACATGGGATTTAGGAAAAATGTATATGTTTGAAATCAATTTCGTTTTTATCAAGTCTTTCAAATGTATTCCCTCCTTGCTGTCAGCTGATTGCGACGTTGCCACATTAATCCTCAAGTCAGACAGAAATGCAATTATTGGTTTCTGTTTCTAATTAATACAGCTGTACTATGTTCAAAACTTACATTAGTTTTACATCAAAAATAAGATAATACTGTGTACTATCTATGGAAAAGTTTTGTTTCACAATTTCTACATTTTTTTCTCAGTTATGGGCAAAAAAAGAGCCGCACCGTCCATCTTCGCCATATAAACCTATGTTAAAATGAACAACTTTCAACAACAATATCTCAAAATCTAGACTCAAAAAAAATTTCAAAAAAATATGACGCACAGAGGGAGCACTGGGTAATACGCTATATAAATTTCAAGTACATATGTGCATTTTAGTAAACCCGATATACCTCCTTAAAAGGCAGACACTAGTCTCGGTGAAATTTATATTTTTTTATCACGATAAATTATTAAATAAAATTTTGGTTAATGTGAATGTTTATTAATTTTGAAATTAAATATTCTTCAAAACAAAATAAACTTGAAAGTAATATTTTTCCTATATAATGTAAAACAAAACTCTATTACCTCCAGGGGTGGTTCTTTAGAAGAAACTATCACTGACTTTTATTTTTATGTATTTTTTTTAAATGACTTCAATATAACTTCAATTTTGTTAAAACTTTATATCAAAGATGAAATCCTGCTTTTCAAAAAATTTATATTAAATTAAGCTCCTACCTATAAAATAAGTACTTCTAAAAAAATCGCAAAAATATTGTAATTTTTTCACTTTTTTTTTGTTTTTGTTATATTTGCAATAATTATGTTGTATTTTTTATTTAAAAATTGGTACACCATTGTGTAAAATTTAATTACGAATCTTTTTTTCCTCTTCAATTTTTCTCTAAAATGAATAGTTTTTGAACTGTGTTGAAAAATAGAAAAAAAAAATGGAATTTTTTCCAGTTTTCTTATTATTTTAGAGCCATTAAAGCAAAAATTAGCGATACTATATAAAACATTCATACATTGGTGTTTTGAAACAGATCCCGCCTAGTCTAGTAGTTATTATGTGATTTTACCCCATTTTTTCAGTGCTGCTTACCAAATTTAAATAATATCGCTTTAGCTATTTATTTGTAGTAAATGTTTTTTTAAACAATAAACCTCGTATCAAAGAATAAAGCATATCCGTACACACTTTCATAGAAAACAAGGAGCCTTTACGATAGCCAGAAAAATATTCCGCCAGACCTTGATTCGTTGGCCTACAGCCCAGAGCACGAAACGTGTGAACCAATATTTCATGTAGAGCTTAAAAAAATATTGACACACTATAATCAGTAATGTGACTATATTAAAACATAAGTATTATTTAACTGCACTTTATCAATTATGGATATGGAGTCGCCCCGATAAAGCTTCCAGCTGTTCATCGCCCGAGATCGACGCCGCGCTTCATCCGCCCTGCTCTATGTGTACAGTAGCATAATATGATGTATTGTTGACAGTCGATTTCATCCATCTGTCACATTAAAATTATTTTAATTGAGCAATTTACGAGTACTTCAAAATCAGATTTTCTACCGAAACTGTTGTTTTCGATAACGCGACACGTAAATTACCAGGTTTCCCTTTGAAAGCTATAGTTAAATCTGTTTTGTTTGCGCTGTATTAATTTTATTAACTCCTTTGGCGTCCCAGAGTTACTTAAATAAACGTGGAATATGTACGTCACATAATTGTGAAACTGTTGACCATAATTTGTATATAAAATACATTACCAAAAAATTATACTTAAAATACGTGTGATATACGAAGCTTTGTCAAACAGTTGCACGAAAATAGTTATTTTTGTATCTAGAACACGAAATGGTACTTTTGCGTTCAAGAATGGAAGTTATTTATCCATTTGAGAACGCAAAAGCATTTCGCTTCAAGATGCAAACAATAATTTTTCGAAAACTGCAATAAAATAAGACAATTGTGTTATACAGGGTGTTAAAAAAAGAGTGTAAATTATTTAAGGAGGTAATAGCATGAACCAAAATAAGCAGAAAAGTCTCAATAAACATTGGTCCGCAAAGTAACGGTTGCGGAGATGTGGAATGTTTTATGTTTTTTAGCCCCTTTTTTTATTTTGCAAAAATGTTGTGTATTTTCTTATAATAGTTGGTTGATGTTTAGTGAAATAAACAGTACGTATTTGACAGTTGTTCTCAGTGCACAAGTTTTCTTTCGCTATGGCTGGTTACTCTA